ACTGAAGAAAGTTAATAAATTAGTTAGACAAGACCAGCCTCTTGTGAATCCATGCTGAGTATCATTAATCAAGCTATGCTTATCGAGATGGCTTCTTATAATCTCAGCTATAATTGACTCTAGTAATTTGCCTACAATTGAGGTCGGCTTATTGGGCGGTAATTTGACGGTAACGACTTGTCCCCTGTTTTAAAAATAGGAATTACATTAGCCATCTTCCACATATCAGACACTACACCTGTTTGAAGAGATAAATTAAAAATATTAGTTAATGGTTCACAGAGTTCCATTTTGCATTCCTTAAGAACCCTTGAAAAAACCTCATCAGGACCCGGCGACTTATTTTGCTTCAGTCTGTCTATCTGCTTCACAACCATCTCACTAGTGACTGTGATGATACATAATTTATCTTCTTCTAGCCCACTGTAAAAATTAATTACTGGAATATTGTTAGTGTCTTCCTGTGTAAAAACTGAGAGAAAATAATTATTTAAAATCAAGCACATTTCATTCTCTTTGTCAGTAAGGTGCCCATAGTTAATTTTAAGGGGACCTATCTTATCTCTAACTTTTGTTCTATAGACCAGGAAAAAACTTTTTGGGTTAGTTTTAGAATCCCTAGCAACTTTAATTTCATAGTCCCTTTTAGCTTTTCTTATCCCCTTTTTAATGTCCCTCTTAATGTCAATATACTGATTCATAAGATGACCCTCACCTCTTTTGATACGCCTATAAATTCCTTTCTTATGCCCTAGTAGATATTTCAGCCTATTGTTCATCCATTTTGGGTCATTCCTATTTGATCTAATTTCTTTATATGAGATAAACGCTCTTTGAGCAGCATGTATAGTGTTCAGAAAACTGTCATATTGATAGCTCTCTTCGTTACCCCAGTCAACAGATGATAAGTGTTCTCTAAGCCCATCGTAATCTGCTAAGCGAAAATCTGGGACTGTTACTGAGTTATCGCTACTATCGTACTTCCATTCAATGCTAAATGTAATTGATTTGTGGTCGCTAGCACCCAGTTCCTCTGAAATTTCTAAATTATTAACAAGGGATTCATTGTTTGCCATAACTAAGTCAAGCAGGTTATTTCCCCTTGTAGGTTCTGTCAAAAACTGCTTCAAAATACAATCCTGAAATACTTCTAAGAAGTCGTATGATTCTAAATTCCCAGTCAAGAAATTCCAATCAACATGACTAAAGTTAAAGTCTCCTAGAATTACTACATTATCGTGCCTTGTGGCCTTAACAATTTCCTCCCATAGTAGTTTCCCTTGGTCCCTATCTAAGTTTGGGGGACGGTATATCACTCCTAAAATCAGTTTTTCATGCCCCTCTGAAAATTCTATCCAAACAGACTCTGTATGTGTTACTTCAGACTTAATACCCGTTTTTATGAAACAGTTCAAGCGATCTCGGACATACAATGCCACCCCACCCCCCCTCCCAATACTTCTATCTTCTTGGAACAATTTAAAACCCTGAATATGACATTCCGCAGGCATATCCCGACTTTTTGAATTAAACCACGTCTCAGTTAAGGCAAATACATCAATGTTCCCTACACTAGCAACTAATCTCAACTCGTCCATCTTATTCCTAGCACTACGGCAATTAGCATAATACTGGTAAACTACACTCCAACCTTCCCCTTCCCTCCAAAACTGTTTCCCAGATTCCTTTGGAGTGATTAGTAACTATTATAAATTATAATTTACATATTGCTGGTACATAATAAGCAAACCAATTTCAACATTTGTAAATACAGCCTTTCCTCGTTTAATGATGGCGTACCATTCCTAAGAACACTTCAGTAAACGAATTGGTCGCTAAGTAAGGAGCATACTATAATGATAGCGGGTTTGTGTTTGTGCCTCCTGGTATTAGACAATGCTCCTGGTCATCCTTCAGACGTGGCATAGCGACTTTCTGTGGAAATGAGCTTCATTAAGGTCAAGTTTTTGCCTCCTAATACCACCCCTCTCCTGCAGCCCATGGACCAGCAGGTCATTTCCAACTTCAAGAAATTGTACACAAAAGCTATGTTTGAAAGGTGCTTTGTAGTGACCTCAGAAACTCAAATGACTCTAAGAGAGTTTTGGAGAGATCACTTTAGCATCCTCAATTGCGTAAACATTATAGGTAAGGCTTGGGAGTAAGTGGCTAAGAGAACCTTGAACTCTGCTTGGAAAAAACTGTGGCCAGAATGTGAAGACAAAAGGGACTTTGAAGGGTTTGAGGCTAACCCTGGGAATCCTATGCCAGTTGATGAATCCATTGTGGCATTGGGGAAGTCCTTGGGGTTGGAGGTTAGTGGGGAGGATGTGGAAGAGTTGGTGGAGGAGGACAATGAAGAACTAACCACTGATGAGCTGCTAGATCATCTTCAACAGCAAGAGGCCAGACCTGAGGAAACTGCTTCGGAGAAGGGGATAGAGAAATTGAGGAAGTTGCCTGCTTCAAAGATTAAGGAAATGTGTGCAATGTGGCTTAAAGTGCAAACCTTTTTTGATGAAAATCACCCTAACACAGCTATTGCAAGCCGTGCTGGTGACTATTACGCTGACAATGTTGTGAAACACTTTAGGAATGTCATAAAGGAACGGGAGGTACAGGCCTCTATGGACAGATATATTGTGCGACAGAGGTCCAGTGACTCTCAAGCTGGTCCTAGTGGCATTAAAAGAAGAAGGGAAGTAACCCTGGAAAAGGACTTGCCACCTCAAGTCCTAATGGAAGGGGATTCCCCTTCTAAACATTAACACCATCCACAGTCTCCCCTCCTCCCATCCCATCAATCATCACCAGATCTTCAATAAAGGTAAGTGTCATGTAACTGTGCATGTCTTCTTCAGTTTGTGTGTATTAAAATTAATATTTCATGTGGTAAAAAATTTTTTTTTTCATACTTTGGGGTGTCAGGAACAGATTAATTTGATTTCCATTATTTTTGATGGGGAAAATTAATTCGCCTAACGATAATTTCGCCTAACGTTGAGCTCTCAGGAACAGATTAATAGCGTTAGTCGAGGGTCCACTGTATTTTATATAATTTTTATGTTCTGATAATTACAATTTATAGTAGTTCTTGTCGTTTCATAACCAATCTTTGTTCTGACACTAGTATTAGGTACTGAAATTGTACTCAAATTGTCACAAACACACTGACAGGTGGACATTTACACCTGCCTTGGCCATTTACTATTGTCTTGAAATATATACAAAGTATTTATAGGTCCCAGCAATGTTTTGGATATGTGGAAGTATATAATAAGAATAATAAGAATAAGAATAATAAGAAGAATAAGAATACTAAAAAGAATAAGAATAAGTATAATAAGGAGAATAAGAATAATAAGAATAATATGAAGAATAAGAAGAATAAAAAGAAGAAAAATAAAAAGAATAAGAAGAAAAATAATAAGAATAAGAAGAATAAGAAGAATAAAAATAAAAGTAAGAATAAGAATAAAAATAAAATAAGAATAAGAATAAGAATAATAGTAATATGTAATGATAAGTTCCCTTGAAGCATGTAAAACAAGCCTCAATCCACCCCTGACAGTGAAGTGATGAGATAACATTAGATAAGAGTTGACATTTGACGAGTGTCAGCCCTTGCTTTGTTTTCGCTGGTACACAAACGTGTGTCTGTCTATCTGTCTGTCAAGCTCCCTGTCTATCTGTTTATCTTTCTAGCTCTCTGTCTCAGATAGAGCCACAAGACTGTGTCATCATGTTTACTCGTATGTTCTAGCAGAGTATAGCACTTTGTCTGGATTTTTTGGATTATCCTAGGTAATATACACTATGTATACTTGTATTTAGACAGCAACTGCTCAGGGAGGTACTACTGTCCTGCCAAGTGAGTGTAAAACAGAAACCTGTAATTGTTTTACAAGATGGTAGGATTGCTGGTGTCCATTTTTCTGTCTCATAAGCATGCAAGGTTTCAGGTACGTCTTGCTACTTCTACTTTCACTTAGGTCACACTACACATACATGTACAAGCATATATATAAACACCCCCTCTGGGTTTTCCTCCATTTTTCTTACTAGTTCTTGCTGTTGTTTTTTTCCTCTTACCTCCATGGGGAAGTGGAACAGAATTCTTCCTCCATAAGTCATGCGTGTCGTAAGAGGCGACTAAAATGCCGGGAGCAAGGGGCTAGTAACCCCTTCTCCTGTATATATTATTAAATTTAAAAGGAGAAACTTTCGTTTTTCCTTTTGGGCCACCCCGCCTCGGTGGGATGCGGCCGGTTTGTTGAAAGAAAGAAAGATACTTGTATTTATGTGTACCTGTGAGACAGAGATAGACAGACAGATAGAAAGAGATAGACAGAGACAGATAGAGACAGACAAAGATAGACAGATACAGACAAAGACAGACATAGACATAGCCACAGGCAAACAAACGGAGCCAGGCTGCCAGCAGCAGGCCAGCCATGCAGCTGGTCAGCCAGCCAGCCAGCCAATCAGCCAGCCTGCTGAACCAGTATTATGTTCCAGAATTGCTTCTCTTTGCTTAGGGTAAAGGTTATAAGACATTCTGAAAGGGTGTTGCACAAATGTTGCACATGGGTTATTTTTGAGGTTTTTTGACATTTCCTTGACCATTTATGGCCACATCCACCTCAAAGCCACTAAACTCAGGGTCAACATCACTTTCCCAGGTGTTTGCCACGCTGTTTGTTCAAGCTGGCGCTCATTTGAACTGGTGCTCCCACAAGGTACTAAGTGGTCCCAGATTTTTTTTAATACAGTGCACAATGAGTGTTACGACCCATTCTATGCTGACAAGACATCTCAGGCCAATCGTGCTATATTTGAAGGCATGAAAAATAAAACGTTTATATACGTTTGGGGCACTAGCAGTAAGGCCGTACATATACGTTTGGACCGTTTACGGGTTAAATATGCTATATCACTGTAACTGCATAGTGCACATGCAGTATGTAGTTACAAACTATTGTGCTTGCATAACATGTTACCTTTCTTATAATTGTGTTTGCTGATGTGGAAGGCATAAAGTAAGTCATAATAGTTGTTGACGAGAATATCTGCAGACCGAGCCCTGTTCTCCAAGATGGTGATCACATCAGACTCCAGACTGCCATACTGATAACCCACTAATGTTGTCAGGCACCTGCAAATACCATATATGCACATTTAATAACTTAAAGAAACTGCACAGTATTCATCGCTAACTTGTTTTTATTTACGTATTTGCCATCTTCTACCATGGTAGGGCAACCATAAAAAAAAAAAAAAGGTAACATGTTCACCATCATTCATACAATAGCTGTCTTATATGAAGTGTGCTGATATCCCAATTCAAATGACCCCTCCAAATTACATCACCTCTCCTTCTGAGTGAAGGCATTGTACTCCCCACCTCCAGGACTTCAGTCTAACCAGTTTACCCTGAATATCTCATAAATGTTGCCTTGTTTACACTCTAGCAGTACCTCAAGCCATAAAAACTATAATAACAATAGCATCAGTCATTCAGGTTCATACTTTTCAACCTCAATAAAAGATAAGATACTTTATTTCAGCATGATACAATGTTTGTACATAAGTGAATGACATTTAGGTTTGAATGCAGAAAGCCCCTTATTATGCAGAGCATTTTGGGCAAACTCAAGACTAACTTAAGATTAATAAGACAACAACAAATTGAGTTGTTTTACTTACAATCTTGTAGGTAGTTGTAAATATCAATTTAGGAGTTACAATGAATACAAGAGAACTGAATATCCTATTAGTACATCAAGTTTAATTGTTCTAAGAATTACAGGTTTGATTATGATTATAGATAATGAGTTTTTACGAGGATAGTGAGGCTCAAGTTAGAGTATGTAGGAAAGAGGGAAATTATTTCCCAGTAAAAGTAGGCCTTAGACAAGGATGTGTGATGTCACCGTGGTTGTTTAATATATTTATAGATGGAGTTGTAAGAGAAGTAAATGCGAGGGTCTTGGCAAGAGGCGTGGAGTTAAAAGATAAAGAATCACACATAAAGTGGGAGTTGTCACAGTTGCTCTTTGCTGATGACACTGTGCTCTTTGGAGATTCTGAAGAGAAGTTGCAGAGATTGGTGGATGAATTTGGTAGGGTGTGCAAAAGAAGAAAATTAAAAGTGAATATAGGAAAGAGTAAAGTTACGAGGATAACAAAAAGATTAGGTGATGAAAGATTGGATATCAGATTGGAGAGAGTATGGAGGAGATGAATGTATTCAGATATTTGGGAGTGGACGTGTCAGCGGATGGGTCTATGAAAGATGAGGTGAATCATAGAATTGATGAGGGGAAAAGGGTGAGTGGTGCACTTAGGAGTCTGTGGAGACAAAGAACTTTGTCCTTGGAGGCAAAGAGGGGAATGTATGAGAGTATAGTTTTACCAACGCTCTTATATGGGTGTGAAGCATGGGTGATGAATGTTGCAGCGAGGAGAAGGCTGGAGGCAGTGGAGATGTCATGTCTGAGGGCAATGTGTGGTGTGAATATAATGCAGAGAATTCGTAGTTTGGAAGTTAGGAGGAGGTGCGGGATTACCAAAACTGTTGTCCAGAGGGCTGAGGAAGGGTTGTTGAGGTGGTTCGGACATGTAGAGAGAATGGAGCGAAACAGAATGATTTCAAGAATGTATCAGTCTGTAGTGGAAGGAAGGCAGGGTAGGGGTCAGCCTAGGAAAGGTTGGAGGGAAGGGGTAAAGGAGGTTTTGTGTGCGAGAGGCTTGGACTTCCAGCGGGCGTGCATGAGCATGTTTGATAGGAGTGAATGGAGACAAATGGTTTTTAATATTTGACGTGCTGTTGGATTGTGAGCAAAGTAACATTTATGAAGGGATTCAGGGAAACCGGCAGGCCGGACTTGAGTCCTGGAGATGGGAAGTACAGTGCCTGCACTCTGAAGGAGGGGTGTTAATATTGCAGTTTAAACTGTAATGTAAAGCACCCTTCTGGCAAGACAGTGATGGAGTGAATAATGGTGAAAGTTTCTTTTTCGGGCCACCCTGCCTTGGTGGGAATCGGCCAATGTGTTAATAATAAAAAGAAAAAAACAAATAATGAGAATTCTAGCATATTAACATAATGTGGACACAATCAATGTTTTAATAGTTGTGAGGATTACAGATGTCAAGCATAAGATTATATTGTTTTCCATATGTTTGTGACAATGAGAATATGGATATATGGTTTCCACATATTTAGCTGATGTTAGGATATGTTAGGAAAAAAGGTGTTTTTTAACAGTAGTTTTGAAGATGCCTGCTGAGACAGCAGCTCTGGAGATTCCTGGCAGAGAGTACCATATTTTGGGCCCTTTTAAGTACACTGGATTTTTACAGAGATTTAGCCAGATATGGGGTATGTCACAGAGATTTTTGTGCTTAGTGGCATGTCTATGGGTCCTATTGCAACCATCAGGAAAGTGCTTCAGGTCGGGATTAATAATTCTCTGCATCACAGAATTAAATTCCTGCAACAGTTCCTCTGTGGATGGTTTATCATCATCATCATCTAGGGTTACATCAACATCACTTGGCTGCATATCTTCAATTCAGTTACCTGATACTCATACATACCCTCACCCTCCCTGACCCCCCCCCACACACACACTGCTAGAACAATAAGCTCGCCAGTGAGTAATAGGGAGTTCTCCTGCCTGCCTGTTGGAGCACTTCTTAATAGAAATGCACACCAGTGGAAATGAATTCCACTCTGGCACAAAATAATGGTAATGGCAGGCTACTATCGGAAGTGAAAAAAGCAAATTTAAATCACAATATTGGAAACCTGAGTTATGATCGCCTGACTTATGAGAGTTCACTGTACTGTAGGGTAAACCAGACCAGAGATCCATTATAGAATACTTGAGCACTCTAATACAACCCTTAACCCTTTCCAATGAAGTCTTCAGAAATTGGCAATTTTGCCAATTTCAGAAGATGCCAATTTCCAAACAGGGTCTAGAATAAACAAGACAGACATTCCTGGCACTAAAATAAGATTTTCTCTGTTCATTAGTCACATCCCCAGGCCCCTCTTACATTTCTTTTGCTTTCCACTTTGAATTTTTATTCTCACAAAAAACAGAAGATTTACTGTCATGCAGACTACTGCATTAGTGTAGAAATGGTGTAGAAATGGTATAAATAATATCAGCGCACTTGTGAAAGAATATTAGACTCACCAGTTGACGTGTATTCGATGCTTGGCATGATTTGTTTACTTCTGAACTTTGGTAAAAATCGAACATTTCTGCTACTTTGAGCTCAATTTCAAAGTACTTTTCATTATGAAACCAATCAAAATCATCTCAATTTCTGTAATACAGTGGTCCCTCAATAATCGTCCGGCCTGAAAGTCGTCCATTTCGGAAATAGTCCTGTTTTTTCGTCAAAATATTGGCTCGCAAATGGTCCGGTAACTCACTAATAGTCCTAATAGTCCTTCGTCCCGGACGCGTACTCACGCTCTGAGCCACCTCGGCCTTTCCATCCCAGCCAGTGTGCCATTGTTTACCAGTGAGTGACGGTCCCCTCGCATGCTCCTACGAAATATTTCATTTGCAAGTCCCAAATGAGTGGATAGAGTTATCAGAGCTTATTTCTTGGGTAGCATTGAGGACTGGGTTGGGAAAATGTTTCGTTAGTGGGATGAATTGTAAAGGACCTGCCGAGCATGGGCCAACAGGCCTGCTGCAGTGATCCTTCTTTCTTATCTTCATCAACCACTATCACAACTGCTTCCACTCTACCACCACCATCTTTGTATTTTTCTACAAACTTTTTCATAAATTATGTGTTTCTCACATTCTTTACCAAAGGGCTGGCACTAGAAGCTTTCTTTGGTGGTAGTGATGGTGGTAGAAGGTAGTAGTGATGGTGGTAGAAGGTAGCAGTGATGGTGGTAACAATTGTAATAGTGGTAGAAGGTCGTAGTGATGGTGGTGTGGGTTCCTTCTTTAGTGATTCATTGATTCTACCAACTCCTCCAATGTTGTTGGAGTTATATAGGGTACAAAAACCACCGCCGACTCAGCTACTGCTTCACCATTATGGACGGCTTACGCTCAGTGGCCCTTATATATCCAACAACAACACAACACCTCTCGTGACATACATAATTATTTTTTTTTTATCATCACACTGGCCGATTCCCACCAAGGCAGGGTGGCCCGAAAAAGAAAAACTTTCACCATCAGTCACTCCATCACTGTCTTGCCAGAAGGGTGCTTTACACTACAGTTTTTAAACTGCAACATTAACACCCCTCCTTCAGAGTGCAGGCACTGTACTTCCCATCTCCAGGACTCAAGTCCGGCCTGCCGGTTTCCCTGAATCCCTTCATAAATGTTACTTTGCTCACACTCCAACAGCACGTCAAGTATTAAAAACCATTTGTCTCCATTCACTCCTATCAAACACGCTCACGCATGCCTGCTGGAAGTCCAAGCCCCTCGCACACAAAACCTCCTTTACCCCCTCCCTCCAACCTTTCCTAGGCCGACCCCTACCCCGCCTTCCTTCCACTACAGACTGATACACTCTTGAAAATCATTCTGTTTCGCTCCATTCTCTCTACATGTCCGAACCACCTCAACAACCCCTCCTCAGCCCTCTGGACAACAGTTTTGGTAATCCCGCACCTCCTCCTAACTTCCAAACTACGAATTCTCTGCATTATATTCACACCAACATTGCCCTCAGACATGACATCTCCACTGCCTCCAGCCTTCTCCTCGCTGCAACATTCATCACCCACGCTTCACACCCATATAAGAGCGTTGGTAAAACTATACTCTCATACATTCCCCCTCTTTGCCTCCAAGGACAAAGTTCTTTGTCTCCACAGACTCCTAAGTGCACCACTCACTCTTTTTCCCTCATCAATTCTATGATTCACCTCATCTTTCATAGACCCATCCGCTGACACGTCCACTCCCAATATCTGAATACATTCACCTCCTCCATACTCTCTCCCTCCAATCTGATATTCAATCTTTCATCACCTAATCTTTTTGTTATCCTCATAACCTTACTCTTTCCTGTATTCACCTTTAATTTTCTTCTTTTGCACACCCTACCAAATTCATCCACCAATCTCTGCAACTTCTCTTCAGAATCTCCCAAGAG